ACCCAGCCCAGAGGTTATGCGACGTGAAGACAGCAGCACTGGGCTCTTTCTGTAGGCAAGTATCTGGTAAGACAAAGCCGCAGGACACTCACAAACCCTTCCCAGCAGAGCCCATGGGGCAACAAGCCCCTCTCTGTTGCATCCAGCTGGACCCCACGGCAGGCAGACGTGAGGAAGGCACATCCCAGGACTTTGCTGAATGGAGCAGCCCTTCCCAACAACAGCAGTCATTTTCCTTCAAGGGAAGGAGATTTGAGATGAGAGCAGCAAGTCTGCCAGCACGGAGGAAAGCCTGCCAGACCACCTCAATCCCCACGCTTCAGGTTTCCTGCATTCCAGCCAGGACAACTCAAATACAGTATCCAAAAGCCCTCATTTTCATAGGGAAACATGAGCAGTTCACTTGCTCCATGGCAGCCCCTCGCCCTTCAGACAGGACAAAGGGATGTGTTGTGAAGGGCAGCCAAGTTGTGGCAGTCGGCTGCAGGGTGGCAAGATGATATTCCTGCCACCCTGGCCTGAGGAATGGGACAAGTGTGCTGAGTGGGTGCCAGCAGAGGCTCAGGCAGTGTTGACTTCTCAGGGAGAACATGCTGTACCAAACATTTCTTATTGTATATCTTACATAAACAAAGCATTTAGCTCACCACCCAGCACTAGCTCATGCTAATAAATGCCAGTGACTTTCTCTGCTTCATATATTGAAGTCAGCTCAGGGACACACACAGGATGCTCAGTTTGGACTGAGACTCTTTCTGCAATTCATTTAAGCTGAGAATAATCAATGCAGCTAGAAAAGGAAGTCACAAACAGGATTTGCTGTGCAAATATGACAGAGACTGACCGATCCTTGTAGTAAACCATCCCTTCCATCCCTCTTTGGGGAAAGACCCACCGACAGGCCCAGAAGTACTCCAGGACATTCCCCTCTCCAAAGAAACCCTGCCACCACTCTCGGCTTTGACTCCAAACCCATCAGCATTTCAACCTGGTAGGTCACAACACACCCCTTCCACAGCAGGCTTTCCTCTCCACTGACATTGACTGCACCATGGCAGGGCAGAGCAGGTGCAGCCCCAGCCAAAATCCAGATGTTGCTCATAAATTGATCCTGCCATACTTGCAGAGTGAGCAAGTCACTGAGCAACCCCACACACTTCCAAAGTCCCTGCCAAAACTGCGTGAATCGCTCTAGGGGACAATCTCAGGGCACGGGCAGGGGGCTGCAGGGCTCCCAGGCTTGCGCACTCTGCCAAAGGACTGCAGGGCTCCTGCCTTGGACAGGCTGTCTACATTTTCCAGGAGCACCTAGGGGAACACAGGGCTTGCAAAGGACCAGGGTGGGAGGGGGAATTGAGGACTGACAGAGAGAGGCTGTAGCACTGCACAACTATTAGAATCGTTTGCATAGATTAGCAAAATGTTCTCTTGAAAGAAAAAAAAGTAGCTTCTAAATTTGCAAGGAAACAAGCCTACTTAAATTTTTATCTGCATTCTTTTGCAGAAAATCTTGAAAAAATAAACACAACACACTGAAACTGTGAAAAAAATCCCCACTTTTTCCATTAAAAATCCTTGAAAAATCCCATGAGAAACTTGAGCACGATGGAAGAAATTCATAGAGCTTGACATTATTCAAGTTGCTCTAAAAATAAAGCAAAGCCCTTGATACAGCACCTCCCCCACTTCCATTTCAGGTTCCTCTCCAGACAGAGTTTTTTGGATATTTGTTTAACCACACTACTCAAATTCATGACCTATTAGAGGTACAAGGCAGATCTGACAAACAGAAATGTCACTGTGTCGAGCTCATGGGGTCACTTGGTTTGTCACTCTTGCAGAATATGACCTTTAGGGTAGACTTCTTTTGAAATTGCATTTTGAAAGAAGGAATTTTCCTCTCCTCTCAGTTTTGCCTTCCATTTAATCCTTCCCCCTGCCCTGTTTCTAGGAGAGTGCAGCTGCCTCAGCCCCTGCAAGTGGTCATTAATCCCTGCCCTCCAGCTGCAGCAGTGGGAGATGCTGCATCACTGTTCTCTCCTTGGGAAAGCTTTGTCCCCATTTTCTCTAGCCTCTTGCAGATGTAAATGCAACAGGAGCTGGATTTCAGATTCCTGTAGTATTTCCCTGTCTGGATAGGTCTGCATACCAGGCAGAAGGCATGACACTTGTTAAAAACTGTTCTTTTTGAGCAAGTCCGAACTGACGTGTGGAAAACACGCAGTCTGTGCTTACACTCAGGACAGGTACAGCTGAAGCACAGGCACCACTGGGTTCAGATGGTGTAGTTTAGCTTTTGTTTCGAGACTACAAAGATGCCATTTGATGGCACAGTTGTGTTCATTACTGACCTGTATTGCAGCAAAGGTAAAAAGCCTCCACAACCTCTTATTACTTCCCTGAGCCTGCCACTTTGAACACCTGGTAATTTTCTTAGTATGCTGATTTGTTTTGCTGTAGCATGACTGCGTTGTTGTGCTCATTGCTAAGCAATTAACAGTTTGTCCTTCCAGAAATATCTGACGCCCCAGACACTATTAGCTCCTCAGAACATTTTCAACAAAAACATTCCAGGGCAGACGCATTAGCAGCTCTTTTACTTTCTGGGACAAGCATCTCTCCAGCTACATACCCAGTCACAGAACACCAGAGCAGGACAGGGAGAAGGGGTCATTTGTGATCAAGCCCCCGTTGTGCCAAGTTCTGCATAAACTTTTCATCTCGCATCACTCAGACTGGCACATTTCTTGCATAATCCCATTTTCACAGGCACCAGTGAAGAAACTTAACAGTGAAAGATGGCTCCTGCACCAGGTTCCCACAGCTTTCAAATACCAACCAATGTTGGGACTTCCAGGGAGGCCAGACTCCTGGTTATCCAACCGGCAGGTATAATTTCTGTCCCATGGACCCAAAACAGCTAATGCAAGCCTCGAGTAACTTGTCAAAAAGAATTCCCTGAAGCTAATGATCTTTTGGTCACCCTGGGTCACCCGGCCTAGGGACAACATGCTGGCAATTGGACAAGGTGCTAACAGATCCCTCTTTCAGATTGAGCCTATCAAACATGATCTTTTCTGAAGGGTCCAAAAGGACCAGTACCTCTCCAGCAAATGAAAATTTCAAATAATCATCAAAAGCAACCTCAAAATAGAATCAATATTTGCCAAATACTCTCCCCCCTCCCCTTTCTTTTACTTACAAATGAGTAAACTCCCATACTGAGATGTAGGAAAGTCTTAAGAGTCAGGCGATGGTTTTGCTTCAGAGACTCTTTGTGTCAAGATAGAGTCACTTAGACTTTCTGTACACAGTACCCCAAAATTACAGTAGTAATTGACATTTAAAATTCAAAAAGTCTAGACAATCAGCAAGTCCTTTTCCTGAAGGCTGCTGGACAGTGCGCGGGACTCAGCATGCCCACGCAGCAGTGGAACATAGCGTGTTTGGCTCCTGGGGCATTACTATCAAAAGTGACCACATTGAATTAAAGCAAAGGACCATCTGGCCTGAAAACCTGCTATGAGAAAGGTATAAAAACATGCACGTGGTTGTACTTTCCCCCAAGAATACTCTCCTGCCTCCAGCAGTTTGCAGAAATGTGTCTTCACCTGTTCTCAAGATCCCAGGTCTAAGCAAGCAGGAGGTATACGTGATGCATTTTACATATGACATCTCTAGGCATGTATTTTAAAAAATACATATAAATATATATAAAATAAAGGTAAAAATATTTTCTTACAGATAGGTACAGAAGTATCTGCACTGCTTTATTTACACATTCTCTAGTGAGAATCTCTTTTAGAAAATCAGCTTAGGATGTAATACTCAGCGCCTACACAACTGTAGCTGTCGTGCAATTGCTCTTTGATATATTTTGTCTTTTTGTGTTACACTAAACACTGGCCTGATCTCCACTGCTCCACAAGCTGATATTTAAAATGCCATCAATATATTTATTTGCCAGAATCTTCCCTCCATGTAAAACTTGAGTGCTCATTGCAGAAAGGAAGGAAGAATAAATCCCTATGTATGAGAAAACCAGAGTCTCCTTCCAACAGCTGGTGAATGAACAGGCACAAAACAAAGGGAACAGGAGAGAGGAGCATCACCGCTGCAAGGACAGCCAGCTGCATTATTGCCCCACATCATGACCCAGTGCCTACAGCAAGGACTCGGGCTCCCCTTCCCTGCCCATGGGGGTCTCAGCATCTCTGAAGCAGCTCCCTTTCCTCAAAGAAGAGCTCTCTTGATGGCTGTTGAACTGATAAACTCGTCGCTTAAACAAGCGATGGAGCCTCTCCTGGAACTGGTTCCCAATAAAGCAGTACAGCAAAGGGTTGATGCAACTGTTGGCAAATGCCATGCAGATGCCAAATGGCAGTGCTGTGTCGATGATCCCTGTCACGTCACAGTTGATGATGATGTTCATATGGGCCAAGGCATCCAAAAAAGTTAAAATGTGGAATGGGAGCCAGGAAATTAAGAAGGCCACAACAACAGCAGCCACCAGCTTTAGGACTTTGTCCCTCTTCTGCTTGTTTTTCCCAAAGTCCTGTGCTTTGAGCAAGTGCCTTCTGATCCACATGTAGCACGTGGTGATCACTGTCAAGGGGATGAAGAAGCCAAGTGCATTTTTCAGGAAGGCTGTTGCCACAGACCATTTTGCAAAATTCTCATGAGGAAAGGCCATAATGCAAGCATTGACCCCCAAGCTTTCAATGTAATGAGTGTCACGGAAATAAAAAGTTGGGAGGGAAGACAAAGAGGCAAGGCCCCACACAACCAATGCTATAAAATAAGCTTGTTGTGGAGTTCTTCTTTGAGAGCGAATAGGATGGACAATAACGTGGTACCGGTCCACGCTCATGCATGTAATGAAAAATATACTTGCAAACATGTTCAAGCACAGGACAGAACTGGAGATTTTGCACATGAGAGAGCCAAAGAGCCAGTTGTACCCCTGTGCGTAGTAGGTAGCCCAGAAGGGAAGGGTGGCGAGGCACAGCAAATCCGCCATGGCCAGGTTGAAAATGTAGATATTAGCAACTGTTTTGGGGCCACTGTGACGACAAAGTACCACAACCACCACGCTGTTGCCAACCAACCCCAGAACAAAAACCACAGAGAAGAGTGCTGGAATTAGTGAAAACTGATAATCTGAAGAGGTAAGTGGGCAGGGAGGGGGTGAGCGCAATGCAGCCGATGAGTTTGTCAGTGCTGTATAGAGGACTTGAAGAGTTTCTCTGGTGGTAACGACCAAGGAGTAGTTGCTCTGCATGTTGGTGCTGGTGGAAAGGGAGGTCCTGCACGAAATTCATGTGCTAGCAGCACTTTTCTATCACATTGCTCACCTGCAGATCAGAAACTGTGTGTCAGACATGCACTCTGCAGCCGTCTTAGCTCTGGAATCACATAGTCACAATAAAATAAAAACAATTTAAAATTATGTCAGTAAGCTGAGTGCTGAAATGCCAGGCAACCCCGCTGGACTCCTTTCTTCCATCCCACTGACAGAACACAATTAGCCCTAGAGAGGTCACTGCACTTTTTTAATTAGCCTAGCAGAGAAGCAAGCAGCTGGGTTTTATCTGTGATTACAGATGGTGCTTTCTGTGGCCAGCAGAGCAGAAAGATTATTGACTCAGGAGCTGGAGATACTTTGGGAACTTCTGTGACCAAAGGCAGCACTGAAGGTCCTTGTGATCCTTTTCTCAGCTTTCTCATACTATTTCCAGCACTCTGCACCATCACAATAACATAGAAAGGCAGCACTCGCCAGTGGGGATCAGGTACTTCACACCTGAGGGTCTCCTGGGACTTCACAGACATGAAAGCAGCATTTTAACAAGGAAAGCAAGCTTTGACCTTTTTTTTGGTTCACAGGGCTGGATACAAAGACACTGAAGAGTCTTTGCAAAATGTCATTTGCTGTCAGAGTCCTTCTCAAAGCAAATCTGCATGTCCTGCCCTCATGACAGCTTTTAATCAGAAGAGTAAAAGAAATATTTGCAATGTGGATACAAGTAAGAGACAGTCAAGTACTCAGTCCTTGCAGGCATTGCTTTTAACAGTGGTATTTGCCATTCACTTAGAAAGATCAGGACTGGGTTTCAGTAGGGGAAACTCAAGCTACAAAACTGCTAAAATAGGAGGCTTAATTGACAGGTCGGTCTGTCTTTGTTCCAGTTCAACAGCTCATGTCTGCACTCCAAGCAGAACATTTTTCAAACTGTAAGACTTTATAGTCAATAAAGAAGATATCATATTCAAATATTTTATTTTACATAATAGAAAGAGACAATTCCTGTTTAATTAAATCCTTATGGAACCAGTCAGGCATTTAAGAATTCTCGAAGGGCCCTAAAAACAACAGAAATTTTGTCCAAGACAAGACAATAGAATTCGGTAATGATCTCTCATTTAACAGAAGGCAACTGATCATTTCAAATGTGCTTTTCTGTATTAACAGTTTAGTATACCATAGCTTATAATTTGCTCAATGCAACATATGCAATATGCTACTTTGAATATACTGACAAAAAATTAACTTTTATTATATTGTCTCAACAATGAAAATTAAATAGGAGAATATTAACGTACATTTCTGCAGAGTGCTGGTATTTAAAGTTCCAAATACTTGATCACAAGCCCACGTTCTGTAATCTTAAATCTGGTCTTAAACCAGAGAAAAGCTTTTTGTTTGGGGACGACAAAGAGAGACAGGAGAGGATCTGGAGCCCCATTTCACCATTAAATCTTATGCCCCTCACTTTAACCTGCAGAAGCTGAAATCTCAGAACTAGTCATAAAGCATTACATATCTTCCTTAATTCTAATAGACAGACCACATGATAATTAATTTCAGCTACATTACTGAGAACAAGGTTTCATTGACAAACATGCTCCCCCCCCCCGCACATGAACTGGCTTAGAATCTGCTTCTAAACTAGTCATTCCTAGTATTACTTAAGACACAATTTTATCATAAATCGAATCAAATCAATGGAAATAATGTTCTAACAGCAGATAGAAAACATACCTCTCAAACCTCACATTTTTCTGGATGTAGCTCTAGAATTTCATGCTTCTTTTTTCTGTTTTCCTTCTAGCGAGTATCACCACCAGCAATCTGCTCTCTCATATCTTCCGTTTTCCTACTGGGAGACTTTAACCTACATAACTCGAGAACTGAAATATGAATGCCTGCCAGCTTCTTTTCCTTTGGAAGCAAAACAGTTTGAGAATCCCCCTTTCCAAGGCCACGTGAGCATGTGCAGTAAATCAGGAGAGAGGAACAAGACGACTGAAAAAAAAAAAAAAAGGAAGCAAGAAAGAAAACAGAATTTCACACAAATATCTCGGTGGGTTTCTACTGAAGCTCTTGGGCCAGGAAGATACAACCACATGCAAGCCCCTTCTGCTCCCCAGGTATACATGCAACATGTGTGAGCCTCCGTGCAAGGATTCATGCATCTCTGAGGGCAGGAGAATTCCCATGCACTCTATGGAGTCCCAGCACTTTCTAATACATTAGAGAGTGGAATAGGCTGTTAGTCCTGGCAGAGCTGACCATAATGCAAACACAAAGAGACAGAAAGCGGAGGAACATTACAGCATTCACACCAGTATTGCCTGTGTAAGGGAGCAGATCCTCTCTCCCAGTCAAGAGGACAGGAAAGTCACTGCTCACGTCCTTGCAAAGGTACGCACACTGCTCGAACCAAGGAGCGCAGCAGGACAAATCCACGTGGCAGAGAGCAGGCTTGGCTCTGAGGCTTCACTGAGGTAGCACACGACCAAAGAGAGCAGATCGGCAAGGCTGCATGCTCACACCAACTTCCCATTCACAGAAAATGGAGTTTTTATGTCTGCTTCTTCCTCGTGTCATGCTCCGCCTGGTTCCAGCCTCCTCTCCCTGGAAGGAGCTCCAAGGAAGCTGCTGGAGGATAAGCACTGGGGCAAAGTAAGCATCCGTAAGCCTTAAACATTTTGCCCTGATGCCCTGACTGTGATCTTCTTCTGCAGTAGCAGCCCATCTACTGGGGACATGTGTGTTGTGCTCCCCAGGCAAAGCTGCACGTGCAAAGCAACCACAGAAGTCCTTGCCAGTGACATGTCCCTTTGCCCCAGCCAGGTGCTGCTGGCTGGCTGTCCATCACCAGCTGGGGCTGGACCCAAGCTCATCCCATTCTTTGAGCACTGGCCGAGCCTTGCAGTGAGGGGTATCCAACCGTGGTGGCTTGGGGGAACCCTGGTGCCTGCCTTGTTTTGGGACTGTGCAGCAGCGCACCAGGGGCAACAGGCATCACAGGGTCTATAACCAGCTCTGCTTACACCAAGGTGACCCAGAAGAGAGATGAACAGGGAAAGGAGCCTTTTACCAGCATCTTCAGGACTCAGCAGGCTGTGGAGAACAAACTCACCTTTCTGCCCAGCTGTATCTTTGATCTAGAAAGAGCTGAAGAGCATGCTGGAAAAGCTCATCAGCAAACTCATATACATCCCCTGGAGGAGAGCACTATTTCTTAAGGCAGGGAGAGGACTCCTTGGCAGCTTTTGGCTTTATCTATCTCATATTAAGAGTCCAGCTCTTGGCATTTTCTGTGCAAGAGGAAACTGGGTTATTTAAAAATGGGGAAGCCCATGCAGCATTTCTATTTATCACAGTGCAGCTTCACAGACACAATGACAAAGCAGTCAGTGGTCAGGACTGTCAGGCTGCAAGCATGCCCAGTGCCTGTGCTCGGGGCAAACACTGGAAGGGAAAGAAAGCTGAAATTGCTCAATGAAATGACATGCTGAGAGCCGATAAAACAGAAACAGACCCAAACATCACAGGTATCTTGAGTGAGGGTAGTACCAAATCACTGCACAGGATGGAAGACCTCATCTGTCCCAAAGGCTCAAGCACTGTGTGTCACAGTTAGAGTTAGACAACACACATGTCAGCACATCCTTGTTATCTCGAGATATATATGAACATCCCCAATGCACACACTCACCCATTCCATAAATGTTTAGTTTGATTTTGGGGCATCCCTTCCTCTTCCTTTTCCCACTCATTCCTCCCCACTCTCATTTGAGGTTGTTATGGAAAAGGCAGAGAAGGAGAGAAGACGCCCTGGAACCACTGAAATTTGCATTGCTCAACAAAAAATAAAGAACATTTGTAAAGGAAACACTAACATCCATAATAGCTTGGGGGCTGAAAAAGTAAAAACTTAACCAAAAAGCTCTAAGATTGAAGATTGGCACTCAGTTCCCACATAACACAACCACTAGCAGGAGACTTGTTTTGCTCAAGAGGTGTTAAACAGATGATGCACCTCCTAGAGACACGCTGCAAAAACTCTGTTCTTTCTTCAAACATCTACCAAGCAGGTCAGCAGGGGCATGTGGGACGTGCAAATGCAGAGGTGACATGTCCTTCTACAAAGGAGAAGAAATGCACCTGTACATACCCCGCCTCAGGTCCAGAGGACTGCTGGCTCTCGGGTGAGTGACCTGAGATATCAGCACTCACTCTGACCCATATGTATTCAATTTTTTACTAACAGTATGTGACAGGACACCCTCAGCCAGAAATTCTTGCTGCTGCTTGCTTTACACACAAACAACCAGTGAAAGATCTTGCCCCATTCCTTTGTCAAACACCTAGCATGCTTTGTACGCAGGGGAAAATGTCAAATGCATGAGAATGTTTATTTTGCAAAGATAACAAACACAAATTGTTTAGGTTTAAATATAACATTTTCCTTTCCAGATGCACTTTTGATCCCCACACATACTGACTGTCTATTCTGTTCTACCTCCAAAACTGAAACTTTGTGCTGGGTTCATAACTCTTAGCAGAAGAGGGGGGTCATCCCTCAGGCTGCCCTTTGCCAAATCCTGCTCCCATTCTTACCCCCGCCAGTGCTCAATGCATCTGATTCCTTATCTGACCCTAAGTTCTCACTCCAAAGCACCATTTAGCCAATGTACAAAACCCCTCCCTCTTCTATTCCCCCCACTACTTCTTTCTTCCTCCCGCTATTTCTGACATTGCCTGTACATGAATGGCTGTGAAACAGAAGGTACACCTGATACGGATGCCCAAGTTGTCCATGCACAAGCCATACTTGTGCCATGTGGTGCTGCAGCTGAGCTAATGCCCCCTGAGCTCGTGGGACATGTTTGTCCACAGCCAGGCTGGTAAATCCAGCACATGGATCTGCTGCATTAGAGCCCAGCACACAGCTCAGTGCAGGCGCAGTGTCTTCAGCCTTTTTACCATTC